TGCTATGACGGGTAGGAACGTGTACTCACTATCATATGGAGCGAACGATTTGAGTTACATTTCTATAAATTCTAGCTATTATAGACACATGTCTTAACCTTAATCTCCGTGAATTTTGAGTCTATTGAAGCGCGATTAGTCTAATTAATTAGCAAATATGCACGCGCGGTTATGACCGGTGAAACGAAACGTCACAAATTCTATTTTTATCCTCCAAAAATGGAAAAGTGGGCGGGGTCTATTTTTATCCTCCAATCGCAGGTCGGAGCAATTCCTCTGTTTAGACGCATGTGTTAGGTTTAGGGTTTAGGTTAGGTTAGGGTTAGGGTTTTTTTTTTTTAAGTGCCTAGTAGTCATATCCTAAGTGCCTAGTAGTCATATCATATCGCATCTAACTGCCGGGTGCGATAAAATATGACATCTTCGCGCCATCTATCGCTAGAAAGAATTAGCGAAGTGAAGCATTTAGATAAGATTTTCCCATGCACACGGGCTGTCAGCCTGCCCGGCTCCAGGTTGAACGTAGAAGAACGGCCGAAGAATATTATGTTGGCAGTCAACGGCGACCGACGTCGCAGCGCCATTTGCACATACATTAGCATAACTGGGAATCGTGGCGCGATGCTGCGAGCGAAGTGAAGCATGTAGATAAGATTTTACCATGCACACGTGCTGTCAGCCTGCCCGGCTTCAGGTTGAACGTATAAGAACGGCCAAAGAATTTTATCTTTGCAAAATACGATTTCTCTCGGGAGATATTGCGCATGCGCGCGCACCGTGTTAGACGTGCAGTGCCGTCTGAGGCAAACTTCATAATATAGCTTGCTGAGGGGGAGAGGAGATGGGAGACTGAGGAAAAGCGGCAGGCAAGATAGCTGGGGCAGTAGAAGAAGGAGGCTGAGCGAGGGACAGGGGAGGCAAGGGGAAGGACGCGAGGGCATAAAGTAGGTGTTTTGTACCCTACATTCTAGGGCGCTCTCCGAATTATAAACACATGTCAACCGATAAAAGTTTATTAGGGAAATTTTGGCTGAGATACTCCCTAACCATTTTAAATGCATATTCATCACAAAATATAACTCATCTGGTGAGATATTGCGCATGCGCTAACACACTAACTTAGCCAGATTGTGTACTGACTGGTATACGCAGCCGGGATCTTACATGCAAAGTCTTCCTCCGATTTCTTAAATGATGTCAACTGATGGTATGTTATCGTATAAATCTATGATAGGTTAACTTCTCTATATTTTAAATGCATAATCTTTGCAAAATACGATTTCTCACAGTAGATATTGCGCATGCGTGCGCAACGTGTTAGGCGTGCAGTGCCGTCTGAGGCAAACTTAATAATATAGCTTGCTGAGGGGGAGAGGAGATGGGAGACTGAGGACAGGCGGCAGGGAAGATAGCTGGGGGCGGTAGAAGAAGAAGGAGGCTGAGTGAGGGACAGGGGAGGCAATTAAGGGGAAGGACGCGAGGGCATAAAGTAAGTGTTTTGTACCCTACATGCTAGGGTGCTCTCCTAATTGTAAACATAGGTCTACTGATAAAGGTTTATTAGGGAAATCTATGCTGAGATACCCCCTAACCATTTTAAATGCATATTCATCACAAAATATAACTCCTCTGGTGAGATATTGCGCATGCGCTAACACACTAACGTAGCCAGATTGTGTAATGGCTGGTATACGCAGCCGGGACTTTACATGCAAGGTCTTCTTCCTATTTCTTAAATGATGTCTACTGATGGAATGTTATCAAAGAAATCTATGCTAGGATAACTCCTCTTTATTTTAAATGCATAATCATTGCAAAATACGATTTCTCTCGGGAGATATTGCGCATGCGCGCCCACCGTATTAGACGCGCAGTGCCGTCTGAGGCAAAGATTATAATATAGCTTGTTGAGGGAGAGAGCGGATGGGAGATTGAGGAAAGGCTGCAGGAAAGTTAGCTGGGGGCGGTAGAAGAAGAAGGAGGCTGAGCGAGGGACAGGGGAGGCAAGGGAAAGGAGGCGAGGGCATAAAGTAGGTGTTTTGTACCCTACATGCTAGGGCGCTCTCCTAATTATAAACATAGGTCTACTAATAAAAGTTTATTAGGGAAATCTATGCTGAGGTACCCCCTAACCATTTTAAATGCATATTCATCACAAAATATAACTTCTCTGGTGAGATATTGCGCATGCGCTAACACACTAACGTAGCCAGATTGTGTACTGGCTGGTATACGCAACGCAGGCGACAGATCTACATCCAAGTGTGGTTTTAGGCCACCTTGTCCCCCGCCGGTGGCCTCCAGCCCCCGTCAGCTCACTCCGACAATAACCCTTCCGCGACCGAAAATAATTCTGTTTGTTTACGTATTTTACTAATGCTAAAACAAGTTACCATGGTATATGCCGATTGTTTTACCGATAGGCATAGATATAGCATTACATAGGATAAAACAAAGCACGCACGCTCGCACGCACATACAGTCACACACACACAGACACGCGCGCGCGCTCACACACACACGCACGCACGCACGCACACGCACGCACACACACACAGACACGCGCGCGCTCACACACACACGCACGCACGCACGCACATACAGTCACACACACACAGACACGCGCGCGCTCACACACACACGCACGCACGCACGCACGCACGCACGCACGCACACACGCACTCACGCACGCACACACACATAAACAACAGACACTGGGCCATAGCCGATTTCATTCCGTCGGCATTTGATTCCGCATTTAATTACCGCATTCCGTATTTGATTATCCCATAAAACTGCACGAGTCTTATGTGCTCTTTATTTTGAAAGTGAGTCACACTCGCGCGCGCACACACATGCACGCACCCACCACACCCTCTCTCACTGCCCACACGCTCTCTCTTTCGGTCTGTCTGTCTGTCTCTCTCCCCCCCTCTTTCTCTGGTACCCATCTCTTTCTTTCTCCATCCCTCCCTCTCCCCCTCTCTCGCTTACTTGCTCACTTTCTCTCGCACTCAATCCGCTCTATTTCTCTTTATGTGTACACTGTCACCATAGTAACTATAACTTGATAACCACATAACTTGACCCTCGCTCCAATTACTTGTATCAATGCAAAACTTGTATCAATGCAAAACCAATACCATTTATCGTTGAGAAGAGTTCACAGCTTGTGTTTATTACGTTCATCCTAGAATCAACACATCCCGTTTTCTCAGCTCATAGTTCAACTGGTAATGTGAACCATGTCCATAAACACCACTCTTCCACTTCTCACTCGATTCTTTTTTCCACTAACAATGGCATGCAGCGGAAAAAATTTACGTCGTGAAGTGCGTGCGACGTTTTTTTTTTTCTCTCTGCAAAATTAACAATTAACCTGATATCCCACCCGATAAATGCATTACCTGACCACATCTCAGTCACACCGACTAACAAGTTAGCAGCAGCAAAGAGAGAAAACATGCTATAGAATTGGCCAGCTCGCACACTAAGCTAAAAACAGCATGTCACAAGTAAAACACTGCTATAAACAACACATTATAAAACGTGGTAAAACAAATAATGGAATGTATTGTACATTATATGATAGACCAGACAAATTCTATGCAGAAACCAATATAGTTCCACACTTTTAACTCATAACATAGATCAACATAGCCTCGACTATACGCTCGTTGCTTAAAAAGTATGTACACATAAGATTCTTTTATACAAAAAATGAGTTGCGTAAAATCTGTTGTTTCGCAACCTACTTTGACATGTTTCGATGTACAGCAATAATATTACACATTTCAGATTACAGCGTTGCCACATGACAAAAATGAACAGCAATACGTTTATGGAGGATGGAAGTATTGGTATTGCGATATTCTTACACCCCATGGGGAATTCTCTGGAAATAGTGGTTTGTCTGTCAGTTCTGTCATCACTAACAGCTTGTTCCAGATAACCACCACACAAGACTCTTTTATTCACCGTGGAGATAAGTGTGCAAAATAAAAAATGCAGCCGTCCACTACAGGAGACGACAAGAGTCAAAGTCAGGGTCGCATCATGCACACTTCCACACGCAGATGCCCATGTTTCCACCGAAGAACATGTAGAGTAGGTTCTTCACCTCGTGCGTGACCTCGAATCCATAACCCTCGCCAACGATGACGTGCCACGAAGCTCCAAAACGCTTATCCATCGCCTCCTTTATCATCTTTGCCGCATTCTGTGGAGAGAGATAGTTGCCGACGATCAATATTTAAGTGATGTCATATTGCAACATACACATCTATAGATATTTTGATTGTGTCTAATTTAAAATAGAAATGCGATAAGTACCGGGTATACGATGCTGCAATATAGTGCCATAACTTTCCTCAATAAAAATATATATCCCCAAAACAAAATGTTTTCTCCATATCAAAAATTCAAAATATGTATCAAGGTTAATTAGCACAAAAAAAATAGATAAATGAGTACGTAAGATAAACTACTTGGAATACAGAGCCCAAAGTTTCATTGTAAACAAAACCTGTAATAGTAATAACAGTATAACACTCATATATTATATCAAATTGACCTCATTATTGTTTGCAAACTTTTCGCAGGCAGTGACACAGAGCTCCATAGATTCCGTTCGCATTTCTTCATTCATGTCGGAATGCTTTCCCATGGAAAGAAAGAAAATATGCGATAGTACAACGCACAAGATTTATACCTCGATATGCTTTAATAGCAATTATTGCGTATTGCAGTTAAATTACAGCTTAAAAAAAGATATATGTGTGAAATGTTACTACTACCTATGACATGGTTGCTAAAAATCAATAAATGGATTAAAAATTTATCAGCTATTTGAGTAGTGTGTCACATCATGCCCACAACCTAATAAATGAAGCCACCTCCTCATTCCACCTATACCACGTTTCCTACAGAAGTAGCGTGGCTTAAACGGTACTATTTCACTCTATCATTAAATTCTATTTTCGCAGGGAATTAAGTTCATCAGAGGTAGATAAGTGGCATAGTTTATTATTAGGGAGGTTAAGTAGATGATGTATCATACTACCCATGCAGCTACGCTCATAGGGTCTATGTCCCCCAGGGTACTGCCGGAACATACCCTTGGTACGGTATACCGGAACGTACCCTGGGTACGGTATACCGGAACGTACCCTGGTAACCATCTGATATGGTTAGGGTTAGGGATAAGGTTAAGGTTAGGGTTAAGGTTAGGGAGTAGGCGTAGGCGACTCCCTAGACTCGTTAGTGGAGTAGGCGAGGTACAGTCTGGCATATTAGATAGTACCAGGGTACGTTCCGGCAGTACACTGGGGGACATAGACCCATATTAATAAAATTCCAAGGTTCAAGGGACTATATGGCACAAAGAAGATGGCGCGAGTAGTGGAGAGATGATGACCGTGAAAGAGAGGCGATGGCAGAATTGATCAAATCGACAGATTACTAGATTGTAATCTGCAATATTAGGAGCAGAATAGGTGCCAAAAAGTAGGCGTGAATTAATATTTTTACTCAGCTTGCATAACCCTATCTGATAGGACCATATGGTTATGCAAGCTACGTAGAAATATGAAGGCCCAGGATCAAAAAGTATGATTTTTACAGATGCTGTATCGATACTACGATAGCCTAGCTTGAACAGGGTCTCCGACTGTTTCACTCGAAAACTGACCGGACTTGTTGATTATCACAAGTGTAATCTCACCCACGGCTAGCTCTAGTACTAAAGCCCGCGTACAGTTGCCGCAGGCCTATATATGCCTGAGGCAACTGTACGCGGGCTATATAGTACTAGAGCTAACCCATGGCCTGCTTCCTAACTGGTATTAAATTCGGCATTCATGTTATAACCAAACAATTACTATTAGCCATTTGGAAAGAAGTTATTTTTGCAGTATTCATTTCATGGCACAATATCAATGCAAATTTTGCAATCACTGTGACCACAGGCCCTTGGAAGTTGGAGGCTCAAGTTTCAAAAGAGTATAACTATAAGACTATATTAAGAGCGAAGCGGTAATAGCTCGCTCTTAATATAGTCTTATACTCTTTTGAAACTTGAGCCTCCAAGGGCCTGTGGCTGTGCTGTGACATGATAATACTATTAATAATAATAGTATTACTATTAGTAATACATTATACAGGCCTACTGAGGTACTCTATGCCTTACCCGAATTAGAGGATATGTGTGTATACGTCTTCCAGAATCAGCCTGGGCCTCCTCTTTCTTGACTTCCGCACCTTCTGCCATGTCTCTTAAATGAATATCCTACTATTGCTAAATATAATACAACAAAACAAACAACAAATAGAATACGACAAGACAGGTTTTGGGCATGAAAACTGTTGTCAACACAAACGATAGGTGGCTCCACCTAGCGACAGATATAAAACAAAAACGTACTATACTAACACGTTTAGACGTAATCACTACTGACCTAGTGGATAACATCACTAAAATAACTATTATACCGTATAGCAAAGCATTACATCAGCAGGAGACTTTATATGCCATAATAAATAACAAAATAGTTGTTTTGTGCTGGAATGTTTTAGTTTCTCATTTATATCCAGCAGTTTTTGTTATGGCATGGTTTTACTCCGGGCAAGGGTTCAATGGAAAAATATTTTTTGGGGAGGAAATATAGGTAGGATTTTGAGAAAAAGTGTGGGGCCATAACGCCGCCGCCGGTTCCGCCACCCCTGCTCATATCAACACATTAGAAACTCACTGTCTTTTATTGCAATTTCTGTCATTTAATATTGATTTATTAGAAAACGGCTAACGGGAAAACGTACAGCGGAGAGAAACAAAACTGTTGCCAGATATGAAGGAGATGAGCTACGAGGACAGGAGGAGAGAATGATAACTGCCGTCCCTTAAACACAGACGCACCGGAAGGGATGGTTATTAAAAATGCATAGAGGTGCTACAAATTTGGCAAGAATATAATATACTACTACCACAATCCAAAGTTTTGGCCACGTTATTTCTAAAAGCAGAATGTCAAAATTTTACAAACGTTTCTCCGGTATGACAGAACATATGGTAAGCTCGTTTTGTTATTTTTTTGTGTTACCTTATTCCTTACTTCGTCTCGCTGTGCCTTGAGGCCAGCCCTGTAGTAGTAAATGTCTTGAAATTAAAATTGTCTTGAAATTGTCTGTGGTAATTAAGCCTATATGTCTTGGAATTGTAATTGTCTTAAAATTGCGATAATAATTCGCGCTGATAGCACTGATCAAGGTGTATCGGGGGTATATAATAATAGATACTTTATTTCTATAAAATGAAAAACTGCTATTATCATCTACTCCCTAGCTATATAAGTATCCTAATTGTTATATTGTACGCACGACCTCCGCACGAACAAATAACGTAACAACGCGTAACAACGCTACAATTTAAATATTCTACAATGCAATGCCAAATTAAGTATAAGACGCATGCAAGGCTAACTTTACACGCTCGGCTTATGAATTATAAATGTTATTTTTTCTTCACCTCGCTTTCTTCGCGAGATTGTAACAGTAACATCGCATTTCGATGGACAGTCACACAAAGACACCTTCATGCTGACCGGGGTCGCGACGAAACGGGCAAAGAAACTAATTCACTATTTGCTATTCACTGTTCGCTTTCAGCAGTAATTAACGTGCTTCGACTCTCGGCCACCAGTGCATATAAACAGGATCATATAATACCCCCGCGAGTGATTGCGAGCGCCGCGAAAGCGCCACACCCTACGGCTACAACAAAGCGTTCTCTTGTTGTATACTCGCGTTGGTAAAAAATGGCGATAAGATTTGCGAGGTATTTTCGCGATGCGTGCCGTCTGCGTGGGTCGCACGCGCGCGCGCGTGTACGTGGCCGCTGATAATGCTACTGTTTACACCACTGTTACAGTAACGGAAAACGACAGTCGTCTTAGTTGCAGAGTGATTACGGATAAATACCTCGTTCCGAGAAAACACGCGATAGAAGGAGTGAAGGAGCGGAGGGGATTGGGAGAAGGAGGAGGAGGAGTGCGAGAAAGTGAAAGGTGTGTGAGAAAGCGAGAGAGAGAGAGAGAGAGAGAGAGAGAGAGAGAGAGAGAGAGAGAGAGAGAAGGGGAGAGCAGAGGAGCGGAGGAGGAGGAGGAGGGAGAGGAGTAGGAGGAGGACGAGAGGGTGAGAGGCGAGTAAGTGAGAAGAGAGCAGCAGAAGAGACAAGGGAGATGGAAGCGGTGGAGGAAGATGAGGAGAAGAATGAGAAGGAGAATGAGGAGAATGAGTGAGAGAGATGGGAAGAGCGATAGAGAAAGCGCGAGCGAGCGTTAAAGAGAGTAGAAAAGTGAGAGCGTGAAAGACAGAGGGAGAAGAAAAGTGAGAGGCCGGAGGCGACACTTGGGAAGGAATGAAGGGGGGAGAGAGAGGTAGATAGATAGATCGAGATAGATAAATAGAGAGAGAGAGAGAGAGAGAGAGAGAGAGAGAGAGAGAGAGAGAGAGAGAGAGAGAGAGAGAGAGGAGAGATCGAGAGAGAACGAGAGAAAGAGAGAGAGAGAGAGGACGAGAGAGAGAGACGAGAGCGGAAAGAGAGAGAAGAGAGAGAGAGTAGAGAGAGAGAGAGAGAGAGAAGAGAGAGAGAGAAGAGAGAAGAGAGAGAGAGAGAGAGAGAGAGAGATAATGATGATGATGATGATGATGATGATGATGAAGAAGAAGAAGAAGAAGAAAAAGAAAAAGAAGAAGAAGAAAAAGAAGAAGAAGAAGAAGAAGAAGAAGAAGAAGAAGAAGAAGAAGAAGAATAGAGAGAGCACAGCTAACAGATAAATGAACCCATAAAATCGCTCAGCTACTGGCCATGCCTTCTGCGTAATGGTTATATTTGAGCATTTTGCTAAGTACCTCAACAAAATCCACGATCCGTGACCACAGAGGTTTAGAACCAATAACTTTAGAATTCACGCTCAACATTCAATTAAAGTTTACGAAGCCGTAATCATTATCAGCAGTTGCAACATCGACAATTTAATGATTCAGTATCAATTTGGACGATAAACGCACCCGACCATAACGAGAGCGCCGCTCTACTAGGGCGTATCAACTCATGCAGTATGTTAAATAGGTTGGCGGCGTGTACAGGAAATAATGGGTAAACACTGGCAGTTGGTGAATATTTGCGACAACGCTAATTCAAGTAGTTTAACGACAAGGATTGATCGTCTCGCGAAACGGACTAGACAATGGAAGACACGTGGCTCCCTCGGGCGGAATTTGACTCATCATTATCTATAGTTACTTTCCAGCATTATAACACGCGGAGGCACGCGGAACAGCTGGCAAATTGTTTTTTAATATCCTTTACTCTCTTGTCGAAATGTTTTGCATTATACTAACAAGGTAAAATTAATAATGTCCGGCAAAAGATCGGCGCATTTCCGCTCTCGGTAGACCTACCTACATGCGGTTGTTATATACCTATAGGACACATACTAAACTCTACAACATTCCGAGCGGATACATCTTCCTGTAGGAACGACTGCCTGTCTGAATGCGAGCACGAATCATGGCTAGAAATAATTTAGCGACTGTTGGTGTGATGCTCTCACCTGAGAATAAATTCTCATTCGCTGGATGATGATGTGATGGTAATGGGATGGGCGGGTACAGCTGGTTTCGACCCCAATCGTGCCCATAATAACATTATCAGATGTTACAGATATAATTATCTGATTGACTTTAGGAATTCAGAAGACAACCTACGAGATTGCATTTGGGTGACAGCTTTGTTATCAAGGGTACTTTTTCTTACCATTTTTACGAGGTCGTTAGGATATACGACCTATAAGTGTTGTTCTAGTGTCTAATAGTACACACGCGCTCACATGGATCAGGTACACGTACATGCACATGTACAAACACAAACGCACATACACGGACAAATACATTCTAAAGCTTACGCAGATGCGCGTGCATGGCCCTTTATGTTTACAAACCT